TTTTTCGCCTGTTACTAGCAAAAATTAAAATCCTTATATCTCGATCAAATCTCATGCTGACTCAAGGAAATTTTCAGAAAAGGCTTAAAAGGTGTCATATGTTGTTGACCACGCCAAAAAAGTGGTCTACAAAATATTCTATACAGTTTTCACTACTGCTCTTCCACCAACCGTTGTTTTTAATTAGCACTAGAAGTCGATTACAAATGATATCCGCTATATGTTAATCCACCTGAGACTTGTGTATACTCTTTGTTGATCTTAAGTGTGTATGTGGTACGTTCTAATGCTCTTGTACATGGGAGTCTCAAATTGGGAAATGAGAAGTCCAATGCACTGATTGTGATTTGACCAGGTTTGCCAGCACATTTCCAGACGCCATTCAGATCAGTATATCCCAAATCTTCTGGATTGTCTGAATATAGATTACTGTCTTCAGCGGAAGCGACACCAGTGAATGTTNTCTCGTGGTTTCTCACGTTCATACCCGCCACCATTCACAGAAGCAAGAGCCACACAAACGATAACGAACAATGTTGAGAACATAATTGTTGGTTTGATTTCGAACTGATTGAATAGAGAAAAGAAGAGAATGATACTAACTGTGAAAATACCGTTGTATTTATGATGGATACGAGTCGAACTATTTTCAAATTAAAAACATCGGCTACCTCATTCCAGCCACCTGCGTCTTGACAATCGGATGACAAAAATAATTTGATTTCTCTTTTTTTCGAAAAAATGAGTTTTATTTTCACATTTTACTAACAGAGTCAAAAGGTATTCTGTACCCTTCAAAGGTTACAACAGTTGCCTCATTTTATCGAAGAAAAGAGGAATAAAATCATTTTTCCGATGCGATCATTAACACTATAAATGTTGCTTAATAAAAAAGTCACTGTATGAAGCCGAAGAGTGGGCAACGGCGAATTAGTGAGATCGACAATGATCAGATCGGATGCACGATGACGATGAGTTTAAACGAATTTTTAAATCATCCAAAAAAGAGCAAAAGCAGAAGATGCTTAAAATGCTGACAAACAGCAGACACCGGACAAGTGTACACAAAAGAAAGTTGTATTTATTCCACTCATGTAACGATATTTTGCTTTACGCCGCTTAGGTTCTTTACGTTTAAATTAAGGGTAGCGCTATTGCCACTCTCTGAGAGTGTCAGCTGTTTTAAGCTTCATCTTTATTTATTAAGAATTAAAATTAAAAAGTTTTTTATAAAAATAAAGTCGACGTTTCGAAAATTATAATTTTCATTATCAAGACAATAGAGACGATTTACACGATGTAAAGTTATAACGAATATAACTGAATAAATAAAATAGGGAGTAAAATACATTTCCCCTTTTTGTTGTAGTATGAGAGAGAGAAAGAGCGAAATAGACATTGTTTGTATTCATTTTCTATTACGTTTGTGGGCGCAATCAGTTACACTTGTGAGACTATCGCTGAAAAAGTGCAATATGTGGGGGTGTGTAGAAATTTACACAAGCGGTCTTTAGAAGGTATAGAAAATTGTTGATAATAAGTTTTGCAAAAGTAAGTTATATTCATCTATGTATGGCTTCGTTTTTCATATGTGGCTTAAAGATATTCTACACAATTATGATTTCTGCAAGAAGTATAGAGCATACACAAGTTATTATTTTTTGGCTAGAGTAGTCACAACTATTGATCAAAAACAAATAAAAAGAAGAACAAAAAGATCAAGACTACCATTCTACTGTGAAAATAAAGTTTAATTTGCTTTAAGAAAATTGTCTGCAATTGTCTTCACTAGAAGGTCCCGAAGAACATTCACTATAAAGTGGATACCATTTCATCCAGACGTCTTTGTGACATTGAAAAATAAATATCTTTGTTTTGAAGATATCGTATGCAGCAAAAATTTATTTTTCTGTTGCCCATGTTCCTAAGTGATTCATTTTTGTGGCTCTTATATAATCAGCTGCAGTATAATTTTTAAATTTTTCGACCATAACTCTTGTAATCTTGTGTACAAATCTGCTGTACAATTAAACTTCTAATTGATGCATGCAGCTCCTCATTTCCCGATATTGCATAACTCAAACAGCTGAAATTCAAGAACAGAAAACGACTTAATGATCACAAAGTAATTCGTGTACAGGTACGAGGGAAATAGACGAACATAAACAATGTTAACGGTTCTTAAAACGAATATATATATATTTTTTGAGAAACTTTTAGCAAAATATCTTTTCAGATAAGTTTTTACTTTAATATATTTAAATGGCGTGGACGATTTCCACGTTAGATCATTCTAAGCAAATCTTACGCAAATCTGCCGAATGTATTCCATCTTCCAAACCCACACCTTCGGCATTTGGAATTGAAAGAGCACACCGGTTAGACAATTGTTTTGTTTATGCTGTAAGAGACATGTACGGCACGTAAAGTTCAATACCTGAGAATAGTTATATAGCTGAGGTGCAAACTAAGTCTTACCGAAATAAACAATTTCCATCTGATTTAATATCTTTGATGATAACTGGTCTACTATTTATAGTGATATCACGTTGAACTCCATACTTTGGAATGACTATAGATGGTAAATTACTTCTAGTTCTAATTAATTTAAGATCAGTAAGTTGTTTCATTATCCATTCTTTTGTTGGTGGATCAAAAAGCATTTTTTTAAAAATTATTTCTTCTGTGATAATACATAAATTTTCTTTAGCTTCATCGTCTGTTGTATTAACGTCATGAGTTATAACTGTTGGTGGTAATGGTATCGATGGTAGTTGTTCTTGTTGACGATGATTTTGATTATCTGATGTATTTAAATTCATAATATTTTCATTTTCTTCCAATGCATTTAAATTCAAATTGATTGCTGAATTTAATTCTATTTTATTTTCGTTTTCTGTTGAGACTAAGAGAAAATTATTAAATGATTGTGATGGAAGTGACCGTGGTGATAATGTTATTGTTGCTACTGCTGCTTCCGCAACCGATCTGGTGACTTTACTACTTGAATTACTACTAACTGATTGTTGAGAATGAGTAATATCATTGTTATCAATCAGCGGTTCGTTTGGTGATGGTGCGATTGATGGCATCGGAGCAAGATCGACGTTGCTATTCATTAATAAGTTTTTTAAAGTGGCTGAAAAA